TGATACTCAGACAAGTTAACTGCCTCTCTCCAGCTGACTCAGTCCACATGAGCCCCAGGTGGAAAGGGGGACCTGCACCCCAAATCCTGATGTTGCTGAGCGTTCCCCTGCCCCCTCCCTGCTGCCCCAGGAAGGCATCAGGGCCCCCTCAGTGGTGGCTGCAGAGACAGGTTCCACGCTGGTCCCGGGGAGCCGGGCTCCCTGTCCCCCTTAAGCGACACGGAAACGATCTCCCTGCTACCAAGGCCTCTCCTCTCTGTCACTATCATCCAGTGTCGGAGACCAAGGCTGTCAGGACAGAAACAATGTCCAAAGGAGAGTTAGAGGGAGTGATGTTTCCTTAGAAACACCCCATAAACGCACTTCCATCGGCCGCCACAGGTCAAAGCCCCCGACCCCATGGGAATCCACATCACCTGGGCTGAGTCCACAGCACACACTGAACCTGGGGTTCATGCCTGCCCGTCCTCCTTTGAAATCCCCCCACAAAACCCACCAAATATTAAACACTAAACCACCAAGTGGCCTTCAAATCCACAGCGTGATATTGAAGAACAAAGCAGTACAGTCCCCAGTGCGGTGGGAAAAGAAAGTGGCAACACCTGGTTAGAAGTGTGTCCACGTGGATGGAGAGCAGGTGGGGCACCTGCTGAGACATCACTGTAGGGGAGTGAGGGCCCAGCATTTGCTGGGGAAACTCCTGTAGAGGGATCAGATTTCTGTGCAAAGGAGGAATGCAGCGGGGGGTGGGGGGGAGGAGTAGAGGGGGCAGAGATTGAGACTGCAACTCAGGGATCCTGTCTTCCCTGTTCATAGTTCCATGCTCAACAGCTGAGCCAGGCCAGCCGGGCGCCTTTGTTTCATTGCTGACCTGTGGGAAGGACAGAGGACAATGAGCCCCACAGAGCAATTGAGTTCTGGCAAGAGACGGAGACCAGAGGAAGGAAACAATCTCTGAAGCCCAGGCCCCCCTACCCCGGCCCATGGCATGGGCCCCCCTCTGGAGTTCAGAGCGCAGAGCAAGAAGCCAGAGCATCGCTGGGTGCAGGAGGCTGGGGCAGGCGCTCTGTGGGAGGGCGAGGCCTGTGCAGCAGCTCACTCGTGTCCCGGGAGCCTCGGGGCCTGGATCTCGGGGCTCAGTGCACAAGGGCAGGGGAAGAGGCAGTAGCGTGGCATGTGGAGTTGGTCAGGTGAGGCACGTGGCTGATCTGGGCGCCATCAGGGACCTTTCCGTTTTTGATGCTTCTTCTCAAAGTGAAATGCTGTTGATCCATGCGTCTCCTAATGCGCTGAAGGGGGCTGGTTTCCATGTTCTCTATCCATGGCGGGTATCATTTATTGGTCACACAGAGGCCATTGTAGTCATGGCTTCCATCCTCAGGGGCCTAACTGCAAACATGCTTGTCACATGATTGTGCGGATGTGAGAAGAATGAGCCATGTCACTCAATTCCATGCACCCTTAAGAGTATGGATCTAAACAGCCTTGGGATTTATCACTCAACATTATTTCAGTCTGGCCAGGGGTTGGGCATCGACTTATGAACCCCGAGGTCACGGTTTGATTCCCGGTCAGGGCACAGGCCCAGGTGGCAGGCTCAATGCCCAGTGGGGGAAGTTCAGGAGGCAGCCAGTCGATGAATCTGTCTTATCATGGATGGTTCTATTTCCCTCTCCCTCAGGCTTCCTCTCTGAGATCAATAAAAGTATATTAAAATTACTTTTAATAAGTTGTCAGCCATGGCTAAGAGTCCTTCTTTAATTCCATTCAAAGCAAGGCCAGGGAGGCCACTGTCATAGAGTTCCACACACGTCACTGACGCTGCTCGTTGGCGCGAGAGCTGTACCTGTGGAGTGAATGCCTGCAGGTCAGACATGACGTGTGGGCCTCCGTCATGTAACACGGAACAGGCTGAGTGTGACGGGGACGGGCCCATGGGCACCGGTGTCTCCAGAGGCTACGTAGACGGCACAAGCCCACGGGGACATCACGACCCAGAAGTGATATCTGAGGCGCCTCCATCCCCCAGGCACCTGGGGACCAGTTAGAGCCTGAGCACTGTAGGGGCCCTGGGATCCAAGGGACGCGCGTGACCAGTGCCTCCTGCTGAGGACGGGAGTGCAGAGACCCGAGGGCCTAAGGGACATTATCCCTGTCCCCACCCGCCCCCTCCTGTTCCCTGACTCCAATACCCTGTGAAGGGTTATAAAGTCACAATAAGCCTCCTTTAGATGTGACCATTAAACAGTCAATTAAGTGACTGAAAAGTAACCAGCTGGTGGTGCCAGAGAGAAATCCCAATAAAACCAGAGCCAAATTCAGACGCCCATCAGCCCTGAGGGTAACCAACACTCCCCTGGCAGAGTCGGTGAGTTCGCCGGATATTGGCCTTTGGGATGAGGCGGTCTGTTCTGTTCGACTGTCACTCACATTTTTCCATTTTGGTGCATAATTGTAACAGCTGACACTGGCTGCCAGGGACTGCGCCGAGCATTTGTCCTGGATGAACCTACTTGTCCTAACACACATCTGTGCTGTCCCCTTATTTCCACACGAGGACACTGAGGCAGAGGGGTCAGCACCTGCTGGGGACCCCACAGCGGGAAGCTCCAGAGCTGAGCTTGAACCCCGGCAGTCTGGCCCTGAAGATGGGCTCTTGCTCACAACCCACTGAGGGAAACGTCCTGCATTTGAAAGAGAGACCCCAACGGCCTCCAGATTCTCAACAATGTGTAAAGCTGCCGGTTAGGGCTCTGAGGTGGCGGGACTGAAACTGCAACAATCTGAGAATAAGTTGTGCAATAAATGCTCTAATGTTTCCTCAGGTGAAAGGTGTGTGTGTGGTGTTCTTAGATCCCTCGTCCCGTCTCTGAGGAAATGTTGGCGATTTCATGCTTCAGGGTTTGCCTACTTCAAGTGTGTGGACGTCAGTGTGTTTTTGTTGCTGCTATAGTTCCTGTCGCCAAGGGGCACTGTTTCTGTTAGGTCCATGGTGACAGGTTTGCAGGAAGGATTGCTGTCCCTGGGCTGATCCTGAATTCATCTACAGCATCAACTTTTATCCATTCTAACTATCTTTCTCACTAGATTATCTTAGATTTCTCTGATGGTTGATTATCTACATACTAGTGGCCCAGTGCATGAAATTCATGCAAATTAAAAGATAATTAATTAAAGGAAATATTTTAATATTGCTATTTGCCCTTTCTCTGTAATAGAAGTGTCAGGAATGAAAGAAAATTGGTAAAGTGCATATGAAAATCCTCCTACTGTCAGAATCTGTGGTGAGCTGCAGGACCCAGAGACAGGTCCACGCCCACCCACACCCACCTCAAAATCGGGCGAGACCCAGAGCTGGCCAGCCCCACCCCCATCAAGCCCTGCATGGCTGGGGGCACAGCCTCAGGTCCTGTGGTCCGGCCTCAGGTCCCCCTTCCCGGGCACGAGGGTGGGAGGGCATGACAAGGATCCGCATATTAGCTCTATATTTTATAGGATTACGACCAATTTATTGATTGCTTTTTATATGCTTTCCCCCTGGTTGGAAGAGAATGTTTTCAACAAGTTGAGAGCCTCTATGTTTACTAGTCTTTATTTCACAGCAGCTTTTAGTTCACAGAAAACTTGAGCAGAAAGTAGAGAGAGCCTGGCCAGGGAATCTCAGTGGTGGAACGTCACTCTGTGGGCCAATGGGTTGCCAGTTCAATTCATGGGCAGGTCCCACACCAGCTGCCGCCTGAATGCCCGTCCAGCACATACAGAAGGCGCCCGCTGGGTGCTTCTCATGGCCCTGGTGGGATTAAAACACAAAGAGAAAGTAGAGAGAGGTCCCACCTCCCCCTTCCTTCCAGACACATGGAGCCTCCACGGGTCAGCACCCGGCCCAGTGCTGCCGGGACCCCAGGGTCTCAGGTGCTGGGCCGGGTGTGGTGAGAGGGCGTGTAGGTCACAAGGAACTGCCCAGCTGTCCTGCCGAGTGGCCGTGCTCCCGTGCATCCCTCCAGCAATGAGGACACGTTACTGCTGCCCCGCACCCCTGCCAGCACGTGGTGTCGGTCAGTGAGCTTTTCCAAACAGAGAAAGAAGAGAAAGGACTGAGCAGGTGGAGGAACAGGTTGGCATCACTGAGAGGACGGGATTGAGTCAGAAACCCAGATGCAAGCAGCTGAGCTAGAACGTCAGTGCCAGGTCCCTCCCTCCCGTCTGACAGGTCCCCCCGCCGGACACCTGTCAGAATCCTGTCTGTGCTGCATGGTCTCAAGCCCGCTGCCCTGTCACCTGCTTCCCACAGCCTGTCTCAGGGTCCTGCGGCCTCCCAGTGCCCCATGGAGCAGCGGCCCACGGTCGGCACAGGTGGGGGACCAGCCCTGTGGGTGCTTCTCCTGTGGAGCCCGATGACCACAGGGGCCACCTCTGAACCGACAAGTGAAAGCGTCACCAGGACACGTGAGCGTTGATGGATCTGAAGTTGTGTGCATGGCTTTTCCACAGGCGCTCGAGTAGGAAGGTGGCAGTGGGAGGGTGGTCCTCCTCTTGGCTCTGTTTTCTCTGGGGAAGCAGACACCACGGACTTACTCCCTCCACTGCCCAGAGCAGCCCTGGCACAGCGGGCACCACTTTACCCTGAGGGTGCAGCCCAGCCACACTGAGAGCTCGTTCACTCAGGGTCACGCATCTCCCGCAGGAACATGTGCTGACCCTCTTCTCTGTGCCAGGCCCTGGGCTGAGGGAAGAGCAAAGCGGACCCTGTCTGCACTGAAGGAGCTGAACCCCAGGGGCTCCCCTCCACGGTCAGGGCACACACTGTGACCCTCCTGCCTCAGGCGGTGCCGAGGGAGCCGTGCCCGGTGCCAGCAAGTCCCGCTCTAACCAAGTCCTCGGGCTGTGACGTTGATGGATGGCATCAGCCGTCCGTGAGGAAGGGTGGCTGGAAGCCAGGCCTTGTGACCTGCCCCGTCCCCTGTGGCAGGACCAGTGAGGCTCACGGGGTACAAATAGCCCTGGGCTCCCCAGGCTGCTCAGTCCAGCTCCTCAGCGCTCACTGTTTGCTCAGCTGAACGCTCAGCCGCAGGAATCATGAAGCTGGCCCTGTCTCTGCTGCTGGTCACTCTGGCCCTTTGCTGCTCTGATGGTGAGTGTCACGTCCACTCAGACACCATCACCGGGAAGGGCCCTTCTCCGGTCCAGGTGACTTACATCGGTGGGGGGACGGTCAGAATCAAACCTTTCCCGCCCTGTGGACCAGTCCCCAAAGCTCAGCACTCGGGGTATCCGATCCCGGGGCTCTGGAACTTCTACAGAAACCCCCACAGGCCAGTGTGGGCGGTCCCGTGGGAGGCCCCACTCCCGCCTGGTCTGTGTCGCAGAAGCTGCAGGACAGAGTCACCTTCTCGTGAGTCAGGGTCCCTGCCCCTGCAGCGCTGTGGCCTGGAACACAGGCTGCATCTCCCCAGGCCTCTCCTCCCTGGATCCCAGCGCCCAGGAGAGAAGCTGGGGCGATGGCGGAGAGGAAGTGGTCCGAGGCCGCCCTGTCTCACCGACGTCTCCTCCACCAGGGTCTCTAGGTGCCAGGTGAGCCCAAGCTGTTGGACTCCTAGGTTCAGACTCAGAGAATGTTCCAGCAGGAGAGGGCTCCACTCAAGAGGAGCAGTGCCGCCTGAGGCTTAGAGTGGCCAGTGTTTACGTTGCTCTGAGACACAGAGGCGCTCAGGGGCCCGACAGGCCCCCTTCTCCTCCTCCAGGGCCCAGCCAGGACGTGTAGAGCCAGTGGGAGCGCTAGGGCCGCAACTGCCCTTTTTCCAGGTGAATGTGGCCAGTGGCCAGCAATGCTGGGCATATCCTCACGCCCTCGGGGCTGAGCCAAGTCCTTAGGAGTCTCTTCCATCTGACTTTCTGAACCGGGTCCTCTCTCCCCACGTGACCTCTGACCTGATCCTCCACCTCCCTGCAGAGTGGCTGTCTCCCAGGTGGGAGGGGCCTGTGGGCACAGTCCCAGCTGCAGGCGCTGGCAGAGGCCTGAGGGTGAGGATGGAGAATCCAGACCCGGAAGTGGTTCCTGCAGGTCTCAGCACAACCCACTGGGTGGAAAGTCAGCCCCGTCCCTGCGCCCCCTCCAGGGGGTTCTGTCCTCAGGGCGGAACCAAAGAGCCAGTCGTGGTCTGAGCCTCAGCGTCAGGTGTGACACTCACAGACTTTCTTGGTTTAGCCCTGAGCCCTCTCTGTCCCATGACATGATCCCAGTGTTAGACTGAGCCTCCAAGGGCATCCTCCATCCCTTAGTAGCATTCTTCCCTCCTCTCCGCATTTACTGTCTCCCTCTGGGCCCTCTGCCAGGACCTGACCCTACCCTTCCCTGGAAAGACTGAGGGCTAACAGCTCCCTCCCCCAGTAGCCAGACAAAGGCAGGGGTGGCTCTACTGAGGGGCAAAGCTGAGGCTTTGAAATCCAGGGACAGTGACTGGGGCAAAGCAGGGGACTCTTGGGAAGGCCTGGGTGTACTTGGTAAAGGGAAGACTGACCAGGGGTGGTCACCTGTGCTCCATCCGGGCTCAGCTGTGTGCTTTGTGACCAGGCGCCAGTTAGGACTTGGGGGAGATGCCTTGTCCCTGGAGGAGCCCATCATTCCCTGGGTTTTCTGTCTAGATCTTGGGTCACAGCTCTTGGGGGAAAGTGACTTTCCTACATCAATTGTGTTTTTTATTCTTCTGCTCCAGCAAATGCAGAAGTGTGTCCAGAGCTTACTTCTGTAATGTCAAACTTCATGTTGTGGCCTAAAGAGCGCTTCAACAACCAGATTCAAAAATTCGATGCACCTGCTGCCGCTGTACAGGCCGCACTGCAAGGGAAGACATGCGTAGACAAACTCTCCCTGTGGGACCGAGTAGCACTTGCCCAGTTTGTGGTAACTTCATTGTCCTTTCTGCATAGAGGCTGCTGCTCAGCTGCATGGCCAGGAGGGAGGAGGGTGCTGCTCTGGGCTGCACAGGTGGGGGGGGCACCAACCCCTCTGTTCATCTCTGAGAGAGGGGCCTGTGGCCAAAGGTGGATGGTGACCCTGACGTGTTTGCTGCTGGCCCTGCACCGGGACCATTGAATCCCTACCTGCACCCTGTCTGCCCGCCGCCCCGCTGGCCTTTGCTGGTTGCAATGGCTTCCGTGTCTTGGTTTTGAGCACAAGTTGTGCCCGTGGCATCTCCAGGGGCAGCGGGACTGACGGCCCTTTCTCTCTGTGTCTATTTCAGGAGCTATTAAAGATCTTGTGTAACAAGCAGCTTATATAAACCTCACCTATGAGGGCCCCTGCTTTCACTGATGCCCTGACCTTCCCTGGAAAATGTAGAGGTTTCAACGTCTTGCTTCAATAAATCACTTGCCCTGCACGTCCCGCCTGTCTTGTTTTATCCCAGTCTCTGGCCGTGGGTGGGGGGCATCATGAGGGGGCCTTGGGTGGTGACAACAGTGCATCATACTGACCCATTGGGCAGTGACCTGGCGCCTGAGGGCACGGATCACAGAAGGAACATAGGTCAGGGCCCGGCCCGTGTCTCTGCACAGGCCTCCCAGGCCCAGGCCCTGCATGAGCCACGCAGGCTCCGCACCTCCATCCCCGAGGGGCCCACTCAGCCAGCCACACACATGAGAGCTCAGACTCCTTTCCAGCGGCTGCTGCCAGGCCCGCTGCTCACTGTGGTCAGGGGAGTCTGTCCCAGGGGCCAGGACAGGAGGCTGCGGTCTGTCACTCTCTGCCCAGACCCCAGGGTGCGGAGGCCCTGCTGGCTGTGCAAGTCCAGGGGGAAGCTCTTCCTGGCGGCTTCCCGCTGGGAGGCGGATGCAGTCCTTGTCTGGCTGCATGGGCTCCAGGGCCCAACGGAGCTGCCATTGCCCCTCCTTCCTGTGAAACCTCTGCCTCCTCCTCCCCCACATGTGGGATGGCAGAGAGCAGGCCCAGGAAATCCAGGGTTGTCGCCCCCACTCAGAATCCGTACCTTTATCACAGCTGCAAAGTCCCCATAGAGAAGAAAGGGA